GGCTCCCCTGCCTTTCTCCGTCCTCTCCTCTGGCTCTGGCTTGTCTCATCACAAATTGCTCTTGCCGCCACCAGCCTGTCTTAGCAAACCCATGAGCCTTTTTTCTTTCTCCATCTTCATTGTAACTTGCTTGGTGAGTAGGAGCTAAGGCAGCCGATGGCTCCCTTAACGCTTTCTTCACTTGGCTTCCTGCTTCCCTCCCTGGCTGGTCCTTCTCCGTTCACTCTGCAGCTCCACCTGGACTCCTTTTCTCTCCGTGCTGCTGCCTGAAACACCAGCTCCAGGTTGAGAACATCCAGGTGTATAGCACTGGTCTCAATCCCACCTCTGGTTTCCAAACCACCTCCCCTCCTGAGTGTCCAGACCTGGACTTCCCACAGGTCTTCAGAGCAAAACAGAGCCCTTGGTTTCACCCCCAAACTTCCTTCCTCCATCCTTCTTGTTGTCTACCCTTCCTGTCTCCCTTATATCTCACATCCAGTCAGTCCACTCCTTTTTCTCACACCTATGTGGTCTTCATCCCCACTGCCCGGGTTTCTGAAAGCTGTTTCGCTGGTCTCCCTGCTTTGGAGTTTGCATCTGAGTTCCCTGGCTGTGCAGCCAGTCAGATCCTTCTCTCTTGCTCTTTAAAAGTGTACATCGTATCTTGCGATTTTCCTCTTCAGTAACTTCAGTTGAGTTCTCCTTACTTTTACTTTCTCTAACGCTGTTCACAGCTCTGAATCAGAAATACTTGTTTATGTGGCATTATTTCTACCCCCAACTACAATGAAAACTTGGTGGGGACTTGTATACATGATACCAGAAGAATGTCTTGTTAGCAAAAGGTGTTCAGTATTTGTTGAAGGAGCAAATGATTATAAGAGAGTAAAGGAGGTTAGTTCTTTATTCCGATTAGAGTGAAAGGTCTTCAGACTCGAAGACATTGAAGAGGAAAAATGAGCGGAGAAGGGATGAGTTAGGAAGGCCCAGGGATGGTGAAAAATCATGAGTCCAGTCCTCGTGTCTACCATGCATTGATGCCCCCTGACCCTTGGGTCATCTCCCTGAGCTTCCTCCGCCCATTCCCCATGGGGACTTGGGGGGCACTCTCCTCGCTGTTTCTCCTCCAAGGTGCCCATCACTAGCTCCCAGCACCAAGGTGCCCATCACTTGCTCCCAGCAAGCGATCCCATCTCCTGCTTCACAGGGAAATTCAAGTGGTTTAACTCCCTCCATCCACCTTAGGCTCCCTCTTGTCCTCACAGCGGTGTCTACAGACGACATGTCCTAACTATAAACTTAGGTAAGTTGTGGGACCTCAGCAGCCGTTTCTCATCTCATTTAAAAATCTGGCAAGGGGGACTGTGCCCCCCGCTCAGGCAGTGTGTTGAGTCAGGGCATGTCTGTGCAGGACTCGGAGCAGTGCCTGGCTCGGACCCTGTCTCCCTACAGACTCTTCCTCTTGAAATCCTCCAATTTGGGGAGGGTGGGGAGGAAGTTGTGGGCTGATGGCGCTTCTCCTGGTGGTGTCACTTGGGTCTGATCACGTTCGAGCCTCTTACGAACATTGTTTGGGCCAAAATATTCATTGAGGTTTTTCCATAACATCTTGCAGAAGTGAACATTTTGGCCAATCCAATAAATAGATAAATTAAGAAAAAGTTTTTTAACCCTTTATCAAACTCCTCTCTAATTTCCTCCCCCCACCCCATCAACTTTGCTTGACTGATGTATTCCTCACCTCTCACCACCCGGCCTCCGCCCTGCCGCTCGTCACCTGCACACTCCGTAGGTGCCGTCCTTCCCTCTGCGCTGTGGACACCTCTCACCTCTTCCTGCAGTCTACACCTCGTGCTGTCCTCGCTGCTCCTGCGGCTCTCCTGATGACTCTTTGTCATCACCCCTCCTGCAGCTCACATCTTGCCCCCGTTCACTGTGCTACCCCAGAGCTTGTCCGTCCTTACGGGCTCCTGGGGTTTAGTCCTGCGTCTTTAGCTGCTTCCTGCTCTGCATCTGGTACATTGGACTCCTGCCCCCCTCATTGTGAGCCTGTTAACTTCTTTCTGTGAACTGCTATCTCGCTACACCCTGAAGTCTAGAATATGTGTCATCCTTTGGGCAAAGGCCTCACTGCTTCCTGGAGAGGGCACGCTCCTTGCTGGTGTTCACAGCTCCATGAACTGGTCTAGCCAAGTGGGAATCGGAGTTGTGTGTTTTTTTTTTTTTTTATCTGACTTTTATTACTGGGTTAGAACAGATGAGACGTAGCAGCAGGAAGGATGTGTCATGCAGTCTGACTTGGAGGACACTTCAAGGATGACTCGATCCTCAGCAGACAATCAGATTCTCCCTTGGACCCTCCCCTTCTTAACACCCATGACTCCAGACACCGAGACTCTTCTACTCCCTAACCTTTCCCTTCAGTCCTTTCCCAGAGCTTCGCTTTCACGTCTCGCTTCCTGTCTGGACTCTGCCCCACCTTCTGCATGAAGACATACTAATACCAGCTTACCTCAGTGGCGTTCTCGTTTCCCCCCTCACTTCCTCAGCTGCTCCTGGCCTCTGTGCGCTTGGCCAGGTGCGAGTGTTCGCTGCCCCAGCCCGGCCCTGGATTCTTCACGGGCAGAGCTGGTTCATAGCCACTGTAGAACATCCACAGGCTGGGCCCACCCAGGTACCTCAGGCAGGCAGCCTCTGTGGTGTGTCATTGCCGAAAACAGCTTGATTCCGGCTGCCAGGTGGGGAATGTGCTCTGAGGACCCAGACTCTGCCCTTTCTCAGGGCTTCTCTCCCATAGAGCTGAAGAGAAAAGTTCTCCTCAGCCAGGACTAGAGCCCAAGATGAACTCTTGAGGGTTGTTTTCGGGGCTGCCGTGAGCTGGGCAGCTGTGTTTTCCTACCTCAGACATTCGTAGTTGCTGGAAGCCCTAGCTTGCTCTGCACCAAGAGCCTCCGGTTCTCCTCAGATAGGCTGTGTTTTTAAAATTTTTTTGATTTTTGGCTGCACTGAGTCCTGCTGGGTCTCCTTGCTGCACGGGCTTTCTCTTGTTGCAGCGAGCAGGAGGCTACTCTCTAGTAGTGGTGCGAAGGCCTCTCCTTGTTGTGTTCCTCTTGTTGTGTAGTGTTGGTTCTAGAGTGTGGGCTCATAGTTGTGGCACCATGCATGGCATGTGGGATCTTCCTAGACCAGGGATTGAACTTGTGTGCATGGCCAGGCTGATTTTTAACAACTGAATCACCAGGGAAGCCCTGGGGTCTTTTTTTCAAAATTACTTTTATTTTTGGCCATACTGCACAACATGTGGAATCTTGGTTCCCTGACCGTGGGGATTGAACCCATGTCCCCTGCAGTGGAAGTGAGGATTCTTAACCTCTGGCCCGCCAAGAGAGTCCCTCCTTGGATAGGCTCTTGTGAGCTGATCCTGGCCCCAAAGTAACTTGGCCCCTGCTGCCCCCAGGCACTTGGATGTAGGCCTAACACATGGTTCCCAGTCTGGAGGATATCCGTGAATGAGGGGGACCCTCGCCTCCTGCTGAGCAGCTGCTCTGGCCCCAGCAGGTGTCACCAGGAAGGCGCCGTCCAGAATGGGGACCGCAGAGGCCACCTGCCTGGGGGGAGACTAGCCACGTTTCTCTGCCTGGCTTCACCCAGGTGCCGGCTAGGCTGCCCCGTCCCCTTGTTGACAGCTGTGTTCCCCCACAGGGTCCCGTACAGGATAGCAAGACGGGGGGTGGTGAGGAAGAGCCGAGAATGGGTCCTGGAGAAGAAGGCACGCCGCCGGCGGCAGGGCAAGTGAGTGCTGGGGGTGTGGATTGTGGGCTGGAGGCGGGGCTTGGCCACCCAGCGCCTGGGGCTCTCCTGCCTCCAGGGTCCCAGGGGTTCATAGTTCATTTTCCTGAGCCCGTTCTGTTCTTCCCGCCCCTGTTACTTCTTGGCACAGGGAGGTCCGCCCTGACACCCAGTACACTGGCCGCAAGCGCAAGCCCCGCTTCTGAGCAGGTGACTGCGTCCACTGGGACCGCCCGGGGACCACACAGGCAGAAGCTGTGCAATCCAGCCCAGGCGCTTGCCTCTGCAGAGTTCTCTATATTGAAGTGCCTACTTCAGCCGCTGACAAAAAGTGTTTTTCTTAGAAAAAGTTTTAGAAAAAGTTCGAAAAAGCTTTAATGTTCTAAAAAATTTTCTTCACTAAAAAAAAAAAAAAAAAATTTTAAGAGCTTACTTTGTTCTGAAAGCAATAAACCACTTTCTGTGGAGCCTTGGCTCTGGCATTTTTCCCTCCCTGACAAATTTCAGAAGTTCCTCTGTTGGGGATGGGGCTTTATTCCCAGGTGTGAGTTAGGTTTAAAGAACTTTTGAAAGCTTTCTTCTAACCTACAAGGAATGAGGGTAGATTCCTTTAACTTTGGAGTGTTCATGTTAACTTTGGTAAGACTGTATTTTGTTTTACATCAACAGGTAAAGTTGGGAAGCAAAGGCAGGGTGACATGTATCCATGGTACCCGTGGGCCTGAGGCCACTGCCCAGTCTCTGGTTTCCCTGTGGTCTGAAGGCATCATCCAGCCCAGTGGCCTGGGCTGACCTTTGACCCTGGCTGCTGCCTTGGGTGTTGACTGGCCTGGCCTGGGCTGACCTTTGACCCTGGCTGCTGCCTCGGGTGTTGACTGGCCGGTGCTGGGCTCTCTTGCGGGTCTGTCTGCTCTCCAGTCACTGGTGGTCAGAAGGGCAGGTTCTGCTGTGGGGTTGGGTGGGGACTGTCTAGTGGGCTGATGAGGGGAAGCAGTGGTGGTTTGTGATTTCTGGGAAAGTGTGAAGAGGGGGTCAGTCTGGGCCCATGGTACAGAACAGGCATCAGGCTGGAGCTGAGAGGTTCAAGCTGCATTGGGGGAGCCGGCGAGAAGACCTGGAAGCTGCAGGCGGAAGGAGGCGGCTGGGATCCTTGGCCTCATGAGCCCTGTGGTGTCACTCACGTTCACCCCCAAGGCCGTGACGCTAAGAAATCTGGACCTGAGGCATGGTACAGATACAAATGTTTATTCTACATAAAAATTTCACAAAATGGGCAGCTGGTTGTACCAAGACCTTTGGTGAAGGGGTGGGGGTGGGGCGGGGAGTCGCTGTTCAAGAAGGCAACACGGACAGTGGTCAGTCACTGGGCAGGAGCGAAGCGGAGGGCGGGTGGGGGCACAGGCCTGGCCCCGTCCCTCGCTGCATGCGCACGCATGCACACTCCTTGCCTGTCGACAAGGAAGAGGGCTTCTGGGTGGGGAGCACGGTTCAGACTTGAGAAGTCCCGAGCCGGTGCGGAGGAGGGAGGTGCCCCCTCCCTGGCTGAATACTGCATCCGAGACATCCAACACCCACGTGGTGGGGATGGGGGGCGGGCAGCAAGGGTGGGACAAGATTGCAGGCCTGAAGTGACACTGACTGCTCGAGCACAGGAGAGCCGGGACCACTGTCCCACACATGCAACACACAATGGCTTGAGGACCCAACCCGGGGAGAGCTGATGGCCCGGGCATGGGCTTCACCAGTGCAGAGGCCTGACTAGGGCCTGCCCTGCTGCCCTAGCTCCAAGGGCAGGAGACCAGGCCCCTGGTCAGCCTCTTCCAGAATGTTCCCTGGGGTCAGGTATAGCCCTAAGGGGTTGCTCCAGGGGCTGGAGGAACTAGGGAAGGAGGGAGGCTGAGGCAGCCGAAGACGCGTTGGGACTCTGCCCCCAGGCAGGGGAGGAAGCCGGGTCTTGACACGGCCAGAAGCCACCTGGCCACGGCCCCTGGCAGTGATTGGCTGTTAGAGGCTTAGAGCTGGGCTGTCTCTTAGGGCCACCCCTCCCCTAAACCAAAAAGCAGCACCATGTGGCCAGCTGGCCCCCAGGCCTCAGAGGGGGGTGCCCATTCAGGGGGACAGCTGGAGAGGACACAGGATGGGGCAGGAGGGCTGGTCAGAGGAGGCAAGTTTGGGGTCCAGAGAGCCTTGATCCAGGAGAGGGCAGACCCCAGGAAGGAGTGGAATTACTGAAGGTTGGGGGACAGAAGCATGGCTAACTACCCCGGGGCAGCCCTCCTCGAAGGGGAGGGGCCTGGGCCTGAGTCTGTCCCTTGTTGGCCCGTCCCCACCCGGCTGGCTCCCTCCCAGCCTGGCTCCCCTCTGCCTCTTCGGTACAGACGCACACTGTCACAAAGATCATGCACACGACGGCTCAGGGCGGGGTGGGAGTTGGGGGCCCTGTGGCAGAGAAAGGAGCAGTCTGGGGTGGCGGGGGGAGCTCCGAGCCAGAGGCGGGACAGCAGCCAGGGGTCTCCTGGGGGTGGACCATCCAGAGCGGAGTGACAGGCGGGGTGGGTTCTATCCGAAGATGCCCCCAAAGGTAGAGGCGATCACAATGCCCAGGACCACACAGCAGATGACGATCATGATCTTCTTCTGCACAGGGAGGCACAGAGAGGCCTCAGATAGCGCGGAAGCAGGGGGCCGGGAGGGAGGCTGAGCCTCCTCCGGGCAGAGCTTTGAGGGGTGGGGGGCTGCTGGGGAGCAGGCTCTGGTCAGGGCTGAGAGTTGGAGAGTCTGGAGGACTGGATGAGAGAGAAAGTGATGGCCTGGAACATGTCTGGGTGGGGTTCTAACGGGGCGCTGAAGGTCTGGGACTCAGGTATTTTTGCCTGGGAAATCCCATGGACAGAGGAGCCTGGTGAGCTCCAAGTCCACGGGGTCACAGAGTTCGACATGACTTAGCAACCAGACAACGACAATAATGAAGGCCTGGGAGAGCCAGGCGGAGGCTCTGGTCGGAGCTGAGGAGCGAGGGAAGGCAAAACGGGGAGGGACTTGTGATGCTTGGGGGCAGGGGGTTCTACGGGTATGTGAGGATGTGGGCTCCGGTGGGACTGGGGCTACTCACCCGGCGCGCCTTGCTCTGGTACTTGACGGCCTTCTTGGTGTCAGACACTGCCCTCTCCACGTAGTCCACCGAATGTTCCACGTTGTACTCAATCCTGTCAATCATCTCCCCCTGCAGGGCCAGGGGCACCCCAGCTCCAGAGGGCCCCCCTCTGGGTGGTGAGGGGGCCCGAGGCAAGATTTTGGGAAAGCAGCGCCTGGGGTTAGAGAAAAGGGGGAGGTGAGGAGGAGGGGGTCCAGGCACCCCGAGCAGCTCCCCAAAATGCAGCCACCCAGGGGTGGGAACTGGCCATGCAGCCTCAGCCAAGGGGGTGGGGACCATGCAGAGGATGGTCGCCTGGGGCTCTGACCCCAGGGCCGAACAGAGGACAGCGCCAGGCAGAGCAAGGCAGGGGCGTGAGTGGTGGTGGGCGGGAGTCTAGCCATGGTGAGCCCTTCCCAGTCCATCCTCCCCAGGCATGATGGTTCTGTCCAGTCCTGACAGCTTTTGACGCCTCCCCACCCAGTCCCACAGCCCTCGTGGACCTGGTAGTAGCACTCAGAGGCCACTCGACCATGACAGCTGACCGCTCTCTCCACCTCCACGGCTCCCACTGGTGGCCACAGCACCTCTCACCCCAATGCAAGCAGCAGCTTCCTAAGGTCTCCCTGCTTCCCGACACTGGCCACGTCCCTCCCACGCTAAGATCCTCCAACTAGAAAGGACTCCAGGGCCCAGCACTGCCTGCCAACACCCCCACCGTCTCCATCATCTCCAACTCTCCCTGGGCTCTAACCACCCAGAATGCCTTTCTGCTTTTCAGGGAAGTCAGGCTTTTGCTGGTCCTGATCAGGACTGTGGTGTTTCTGGTCCCTCTACCTGGGCCAGCTCTTTGCTCTTCCCCTGGGAAGTCTTTGAAGTTCAAATGCCACCTCCTCAGAGAGGGCCTTCCCTGACCACCCCATCCAAAGTGGTCACTGCAGTGACTATCACTCCAAGCATGGCCCAGGGATGAGGAGCATCGGGATCACTCTTGAACTTTAAAGACGTACAAATATATGAACCCCTACCCCCAAATCAATTCTAAAGGAAATCAACCCTGAATATTCATTGGAAGGACTGATGCTGAAGCTGAAGCTCAGCATCTGGCCACCTGATGCGAAGAGCTGACTCACTGGAGAAGACCCTGATGCTGGGAAAAATTGAAGGCAGGAGGAGAAGGGTGTGACAAAGGATGAGATAGCTGGATGGCATCACTAACTCAATGGATGTGAATTTGAGCAAACTCTGGGAGATGGTGAAGGACAGGGGAGCATGGTGTGCTGCAGTCCATGTAGTCACAAAGAGTTGGACACAACTGAGCAACTGAACAGCAAACCGCCACCTGTGAATCTCTGGGAGTGGGGGCCAGCATAGGGAAATGTGGAACAAGGCCTCTGAGTGTGGCTCTTGATCACTTTCAAGGTTGAGAACCACTGCTCTGTCAGGTTGCCTCCCTCTAACACCTGGCATGGGTGGAGACCATGCCATTCATCGTTCACTGATGCTGCCCTATTGTCCAACAGACATCTGCTCCAGGAAGCAGGCCCTCATTGGTCTTGCTTGTTGCTATTCCTCTGGCTCCTAGAAAAATGCCCCTCCATGTGCCCACGTGACAAAAAGCTGGTGAATGAGACAGGACAAGGCCGAGTGAAGGTGGGCAGGGCCATGCAGGGCCTGGGGTCCTGGAGAGCCAAGCAGAGCCATGCAGAGAGGATCCTTCAGGTGGGTAGTTTCATCCGCACACAGGGAGTTACCTGCAGACTGGGTCCCTCCCAGGCGGGGCAGCGTGGCGGGCAGAAAGGGGAGGGTTAGTGCAGCCCTGCGTGCTGCTGGGGGCGGGGTGGCGGGGGCCCCGGCACCCACCTGGCTCTCCACGAGCATGGCCATGTCCATGAACATGTCGTGCAGCTCCCGGATGCTGTTCTCCAGCTTGATGATCTCGCTGTGGCGGGTCTCAATCTCACTCAGGGCCTGCTTCGAGATGCTGGAGTCCATGATGATCTAGGGGGTGCAAACCGTAGGCTGGGACCAGGGGGCCCATCGAAGGCGGAAGGGTGGGGGCCAGGACAGCAAGAGGCCAAGAGCAGAGGCCGCTGGGATGGGCAGTGGCCTGAGCAGAATGTTCTGGAAGCAGGGCCTGCCTGAGGCTTTGTCCTTAGCCACAGCCCCCCCCCCCACCCCCACTTTCTGTTAGGCTCCCACCATTGTTGTTTAGTCACTAAGTAGTGTCTGAACCTTTAGCGACCCCATGGACTGTAGCCTGCCAGGTTCCTCTGTCCATGGGATCTCCCAGGCAAGAATATTGGAGTGGGTTGCCATTTCCTCCTCCAGGGGCATCTTCTCGACCCAGAGATCGAACCCAAGTCTCCTGCACTGGCAGGCAGATTCTTTATCACTGAGCCACTGGCGAAGTCCAGGCTCTTACTAGCTGTTACCGAATTTCTCTGAGACCTGATTTCCTACCAGCAGATTCCTACCTGTAACATGGGGCTAATAACAGTCCCCACCTGTGTCTGCACACCGTTAACAGCTGAGTGGTAGTTCTCACCACCGGTGCTGTAGGAGCCCAAGATGACTGCGCCAAGGACCCAGGCCTTGAATGGCCTTTGTCCTGAAACCTCTCCTCCTGTTCTTCCTTCCACACTCAATGTACCTGATCCCTCCTCCTAGAAGCACATGTTCAGGCTGCCTTCTCTACCTGTGTGCCACCTCCTTCAGGAAGCTCCCCTGCATGGCAGCACATAGAGCTTCACTTGAATGTAGAGAGGCCGAGGGTACCGTGCCCTCGCGGGGGGAAGGGTCCTCAGGATGGTGGAAGGAGCCCCTAGCTGGTGGCAAGTGAGCACGGGGTGCAAGAAGCCGACCCGACTGGGAGGAACCAGGAGACGAGTCTTACTTCCACCTTTGCCACTAACGTGGGACCTCTGCCTGTCCCTTGCCCTCTCCGGGACTCAGCCTTCTCTTTTCTAAAACCTGCTTCACCGGTGACAGAGTCCAAACACCGCCCAGATCCAGCACTTTGCACACACACCCAGGACCCCGGTGGGAGGGGTCTACACTCACCCCGGAGGCAAAGATGGCGGGGTTCCCACTCTCCAGCATGTCCTCCAGCTCCTCGCTGGTCGTGGTCCGGCCGGCTGCGAGCAGGGGTCAAACTGAGCCAGGCCCTTCCCCAGAGTTGTCAGCGGCAGTCTGGCCCCGCCCCTCCGCCCGGCCCCGCCCCTCCAGCTTACTGATCTCCAGCTGCCTCTGGATGCGGCCCTTGCAGCGCTCGCGGTAGTCAGACTGCGTGGCGTTGTACTCGGACATCACCTCCACGAACTTCCGGGACAGTGTGGAGTGCTGGGGGCCCGAGACGGGAGTGCAGGTGTCAGCCCCAGCCCCACCCGGGCCCCAGAGCCTCAGGCGCCCGGCTACTCGCCCCGGAGACCCCGCCCACACCTGTGTCTTTCGGATCCTCAGGTCTGCGGAGGAGCGGTTCAGGCCTTCCTCCTGCTCGATGCTCTGCTCGATGCCTGGGGAACAGCCGGCTGCTGATAACCTGCCCCGTTCGCCGCTGCCTCGCCGCCCACACACCCGGGATCGGGCTCGAAACCTCCCCTGGAGGGACTCGTGTTGTCTGTTGACTGGGGTCACACAGGAAGCAGAGGAAGGGGCCGCGCCACGCACCGATGCAGGAGGGGCCGGCAAAGGCTATTCCAGGCAAGATGTGTGGGTGTGTGCATGTACACTCAGCTGTGAGGCCCCAGGCACACACTAAGCTGTGTATCTGTAAGTGTGTGAGTGTGAGCACCTACTATGTGCTAAGCCTCGTAGGGCAAGCCCACCCCGTCCTGATTACGAAGGTTGTGTATGGAACAAGGGGCGGAGCATGCCATGGGGGCGGGGCAGGTGGCCACAACCACAGGGCGCTGGATGTGACCCCTGCATTCCAGGGCAGGCATGCCTGTGCTCCCAGGAGTGCATGGGGCCCCCTGCGTGGGACCAGGCAGTACCAGCCACTCCTCTAACCCTCTTTAGCCTAAGTGGGGGACACTGTCCAGAGTGGAACACTCCCTAGAGGAAGCCCCAACACCGGTCCTGAGGCCCGGCCCAGAGCCTGGCACAAACAGGCCTCTCCGGGTAGCTGCCGAGTGAATGGCACGTGGTGGCACCCTCACAAGGAAGACCCAGTGTAACCCTCTGAGTCAGTGAAACCCCCTGGGCAGTGTGGGAGAAGCAGGCCCAGAGTGCCCCTCACACCCCAGACTCACTCTTTAACTTGGAACGGACTTTGTTTGCTGTCTTCTTTATGTCGGACATGAGTTCCTCCAGCTCCTCCTTTGTCTCTAGGGAGGTAGAAGGGGTGGGGGTAGAGACCCTGGGCTCCCCTGTGGAGGCCTGAGGAGGGGCTCTGGGCAGACCCTGGGTCTCCCTTGTCCCCTGGCTAAGGCCCTGCCTGCCCCTCCAATCCCGGGCTGGCCCACACCAGGTGCAGCCTCACCCCTTCCGTGTTGTCTTCCAAGGAGCTCCCTTCCAAGGAGCTGGCTCCCCCCACCCCTTGTAGATAACAGATGGGTCTAAATTTAAGGCAGAAATAATTGTGGAGCAGCTGGCGATGCTGGAGTTGGCACTGGGGAACATTTAGTTGATACTTGCCGGAGTCGAGGGTGGGGGGAGCAGGCTCACCTAGCGCTACCTGGTGGCTCAGGGCGCAAAGCACCCAGCTGAAGAGCTGACGGGGCCAAGGGCCAAGGAGGCAGAAGCCAGCCCCATCGAGCACCCTGGGCAGGGCAGCCCCTGTTCTACTCACAAAGCCCTGCTCCCCAGGTCTGAGCTCAGCGAAGGCTAACTACTGAGGGCCCGGTAGGTGAGTGGCACCTGGCCTGGGTGGGAGCTGAGAGAAGAGCTGAAGAGGGGACTCCTGGGGTACGGTTGGCTCTGGAGGTAGCATGTGGCCGGGCCTATGAGAGAGGGTGGAGCTGGGGGAGGGCGGTGGCATAGTTTCTGGCCCTTGTTCCAACTGGAACCATCTCCCTAAAGCTGGCAGAAGCTAAGGGAGTGCCCAGCTTGCCCTGTTCCCTGGGAGGGGTTCACTGGCAAAGTGGGGCAAGAAGGCTGCTTCCCTCTGGGGCACTGGGTGGAGCTCCACCTCAGGGCACACCCCCCCAAGACTGCACCCCCTGGAGAAACCAGGACTGAACTTCTGGATTCAACCATTCACATCCATCCAGTGCTTGCTTCTGGGGCTGGGGTTTCTCCCCTGGGGGGCCTCAGGAGGGGCATTGACAGTGGCCAATTGAGTGAGTGAGGGGGAGTGGGAGCTTCCAGGAGCGGGGGTGCATGCGCCTTATTCGTAGGAACAAAGGAAAGCTCGGTTACCAGCTGCTGTGATGTCTCAGCCTCTTTTGCTCAGACCCAAAATAGCCCAGCCCGGATGGCAGTCCCTAGAGAAGGCAGAGCAAGCCTTGGCCCGGGAAAGCCCCCCAATTCCTGCCAACTTTCCTTGTGATGCCTCACCAACCCTGCTCCGCCTCTGCCTAGAACCCTTCATGGGGAGCCCCTCCCCCCTTGGAAAGTGCCAGGTCCTGACTGCTCAGCTCACAGGTAGCAAATTCTGAACTGGTCATTGCTGATATCTGATGAAGTTGACACAACACAGTTAAGGTTGGAAGCAGGGCAACTCCGTCTCCCCACCCTACCCTCCGCCTGCTCCATCTTCTGGCAGATGAGAGGCCAAATCCAGCTCTTTACAGTCTCACCCCACAGTCAGCCCCCCTCCTGAGCCTCACCAGGAGTGACCCACCAGGGACACGCGCTGACCCAGATACATGTGGGCATGCAGACAAACCATGTCACATGACGCCATCCCTGACACACCTCTAGGTGGGGCAGGAGGGGAGCCAGGACGACCTGAGGACCACACCGGAGGTTATGCCCTGCTCCGGGGGGTCTCCTCTCCAACCCTTCCTGGTTCAGTCTCCCTGGCTCCCAGCTGATTTGTTCTGCCTTTCAAGGGCCTGGCACTGGGCTTGGTTGGTGTGGCACTGGGATCAGGTCCAAACACACTTTGGGGCCGTGGAGAGATTTATTCTGGGTGCTTGAGGATGCCTGTGGGCCTGGGGTTGAGAGGCCACGGATAGAGAGGCAGTGCTGGAACTGAGAACGGAATCAAGCCTCGGGTGCCTGGGTGGAGGGCTATGGGCCCTAGGCCCTTCCTCCTGAACACCTGGGCAGCAGCTGGACCCTGCTCCATGCTCTGTCCTGGGGCCCCAAGGGCTGGGGCCTTCCAAAGGAGCTGGAGAAGGGAGAGGGGAGGTGAGCAACCTGCGAGAACAGGCAGGCGGCACACATGCCCAATCTGATGAGTCCAGGTGGCTGGCCTGAGCCCTGGCCCATCACTGCCTCCCTGGGCTGAAGGTGAACCCCCTCTAGGGGAGAGGGGTCCCAGGCCAGCATGCTGTCAGCCTGGCCCATTATTAGTGTAGTAGTAATCAATGCCTCCACAGGTCAGGGGGACCCGCCTGGGGACAGAGTGAAACAGACACACACATGTTCCCTGTGCAGAGGGAGAGAGAGGTGACTTCCTGGAGCCCTGAGAATGCCCAGCTCTGAGGCACCAGTGGCCGAGTGCCAGGGCCGCCAGCTTTTTCCGGAAACTCTGCCTGCTTGGCCGGCTTGCCCTCCCACAGCGCTGATGCCTCAGAGCAGCCATCTGCTCCCCGGGGAGGCGATAGAAAGGGAAGGGCTGGGCTGGGACGCCTCCTATTGATCACAGGCAGCTCCTCCCTCCTTCCCTCCCTCCCAGAATCCAGGGCTGTCTTAGAAAGCAGCCAAGTTTTACCCGGAGAGGGCGGGGCCAGCCACCTGACCCTGCCCCTCCCACCAGGCACCCCACAGGTGATTAAGAGCACTGAACCGCCCCCGACCCAGGCCTGAACCGCACACCCACACACTCACTCTCGTCAGGGTTGGGGGAGGCCAGGATGGCGCTGTGTTTGCGCTTCACCTCCTCCACGTTCTCCGAGATCTTGTCAATGAAGCTTCGGATCTCCTCTACCTGTGGGCCAAGGCCAGGTGCTCTGGGGGCGGAAATCCAGGGAGGGGCCTTCTGGGGCCCAGAGTAGGGCTGGAGGTCAGGGCCAGGCTGGGCAAGGTTCAGGGGTGTGTGTGTGGTGAGGGGGGTGGGCAGTGCTGATCCAAGGATTCTTCTAGACTGGGGGAGTGGGAAGGAGTGGGCAATCCCCAATTTTGCTCCCCACTGAACCTCAGTCTAGTTACCCTCAAAATGGGCTCACTACTCAGTGCCCGTGGGCTGCTGAGCCCAGGCGCAGGTATGTAAGAGCCCTGGGCCCGGCTGAGAGGTGAGACGTGGCCGCCCCAGGACTGCCGGTGTTTGGGGAGAGGCGGGGGTGCTGCTCCCACCTGCTCGAAGAACTCATCCATGAAGCGGTCTCGGTCCACGGTGACAGTGACGTCGTCATCATCGTCGCTGTCCTTGGCCTGCACGGGGTGGACACACATGAGCGCCCCTGTGGTAGGACCACTGGGTCCCATGGGACCTGGGAGCCCAAGCTGCCCAGGATCCCCATAGTGCAGGCTCTTCGGTTGGAGCGCTGAGGCCCGGCCATCCTTGTCCATCCCCTTGGCAGGGACAAGGCCTGGCTGCACCCTCAGCTCCCAGCCCCAGTGAGACCGGGAACATCCCTGGGGTTGTTCAGTCGTGTCCGACTCTTTATGACTCCATGGACTGCAGCCCACCAGGCTCCTCTGTCCATGGAATTCTCCAGGCAAGAATACTGGAGTGGGTTGCCATTCCCTTCTGCAAAGGATCTTCCTCACCCAGGGATGAAACCTGGGTCTCCCGCATTGCAAGCAGATTCTTTTACCGACTGAGCCACCAGAGAAGCCCCTAGGCCTAGGCACCACCAACACCTCTCTGCCAAAAAGTAGGACGGCTCAGATATGGGTCACGCCCACAGCACCCAGGCTGGCCTGACAGCTACTGCCCATGGAGGGCTCAGGGAGCCTCCAGGCCTGTTCCCTCAGACTGCTTGGAGACCTCTATTGTTAGTCTTTCTTCTTCTTTTTTTTTAAAATATTTATTTATCTATTTGGTTGTGCTGGGTCTTAGTTGTGGCATGTGGGATCTAGAACCCTGAGCAGGGATGGAACCCAGGTTTCCTGCATTGGCAGCATGAAGTGTTAGCCCACTGGACTATCAGGGAAGTCCCTCTCCCTGTTAGTCTTGGCATTGACCTTGATCCTCTTTCCTTCCAGGTGCAGAGTTGGGTCTGACAGGCACCAGAGGCCGGTCATGTTGTCACTTGGCTCGGGGCCTGCCTTGGGTCTCAGCCGCAGGTGTCGGCTCTGCCCCTCGGCCCCAGGAGCCGCCGCACAAACGCCAGCCCATCACAGGGTTGGAGGTAATTACATCTCTGACTTCCCAGCACGCCAGCCACGCTCATTACTGTCTGTCTCACACCTGGAGTCAGCCAGGGTCAGCCCACTCTGCAGGCAAGGCCAACGTCTCTCACAGCCAAGGCCAGGCTACTCAGGGTAGGACGGGCACCTGGGGTGCTAGGGCTGGGTCCTGCCCCCTCATCCTCAGTGCCCCACGGGGAGGAGGCAGTGGCCCTCGCCTTGATGCTCTCTCGTGAGGATGCGGGCAGGCAGAGGGGGAGGGGACGGGGCGCTGGGCCCCCGCCGGCTCCCAAGGGGCCGGGTCCCATGTCCAGACAGACACCGATGGGCTCAGGGACTTCGCTCAGGGTCTGCCTGCTCCTCTGTGAAATGGGGACAGCGATGCTCTGCTGGGGGAAGGCGGGCCCAGGATGGATGGGGAACCGCAGCACGTTCTGCAAAGGACTGGGGCTCTCGGGGTCCCACCACCCCACCCAAGTGGGGCCAACCAAGAGAAGGGGCCGGTTGGGAGCTTTATGGAGGCGGCCCCTCTCATCAAGAGATGGGGACAGCGATGCTCTGCTGGGGGAAGGCGGGCCCAGGATGGATGGGGAACCGCAGCACGTTCTGCAAAGGACTGGGGCTCTCGGGGTCCCACTACCCCACCCAAGTGGGGCCAACCAAGAGAAGGGGCCGGTTGGGAGCTTTATGGAGGCGGCCCCTCTCATCAAGAGATCACACCTCCTCCCCCAGCAGCTAAAATAAGTCCCCGCTCCCACAAGTGCCGGTGGCTGCCACCAGGTGGTCCCCATCCCCCACCAAGCCCACCCGTAGCCACAGAGAATCTGGAAGCTGAGCTGGAGAAGGAGCACTCCACAGGGAAACCGAGGCAGGGTGTGATGGAGGTGCCCAGGGCCCTCTCCACGGCAGTCGGCCAGCTTGGGAGGTGTCCCCGGGAGGTCCTGCCATTCAGCATCCTGGCCTCTCTGTCATTCCGGTACCCAGAGGACAGGGAACGGGAGGAGGTGGAAGGAGAATATTCCAGCCCCATTCCCTCCGGGAGCAATGGCCAGCTGGAGCCCAAGACAAGGGTGCCTGAGTCACCAGAGATGAGAGCCACTGCTGGGGACTGGGACCCCAGGGCTGGTGCCCCCCTCTGGGCCTCAGCTTGCCCACCTGCAAAATGGACTTGTCTTCTCCAGGCATCCAGCCAGCTCTGACCTGCTCCCTACACAGCCTCCGTGTACAAAGGCTGGACTCGGGTAGTTTCTCCAACAGAAGGGTGGCAGGGAGATGCCACAGCCTCCTCCATGCTCTCCATCAATTAAGTGGCACTAGGGGTAAAGAACCTGCCTGCCAATGCAGGAGACGCAGGAGAACGAAGGTTCGATTCTTGGGTTGGGAAGATCCCCTGGAGGAGGAAATGGCAACCCATGCCAGTATTCTTGCCTGGAAAATCCCGTAGACAGAGGAACCTACAGGCTATAGTCCATGGGGTCACAAAAAGGCAGACATGACTGAGTATGCACACAGGCACACAAATACATTAGGGCCTGACCTCACAGCCTGGGTCAAACCAACCATGGCTCTGAGCAAAACCGGGAGTGGATGCTCCCAGGGCATCCCTTCCAAGTGCTACTTCTTCCTCCTCAGGGCTCTTTCCACTCTCACCCCTCCACCCACCCCCACTTCATCTCATTGCTCCAGTCTGAAATCTGATCCCAGCACACCCCACCTATAACCATCTCCCGTCCCTAGAATCTTCCCACTGTCCTCCCTGTGATCCCCAGGCGGCTCCCCCTGTCTGCAGTGCTGATTCTGTGAAACGGACATTCCCTTCTTCATTAGATGCCATCTCTTTCGGAAGCATTCCTCATCTCCCCAGGGATGGGATCTCGCTCCTCTCACTCCCCACACCCTATTCACATCCCTACTGGAGCCACTGCGACACTCTCTCAAACCCCGGGAGACCTGAAAAGTCACCTCGGCCACGGCTTCTAGTCACAGCTTTCACCCCTCCAGTGGTGGAGAGCTCGCTAGCTCCCCCAGGCCTTTCTGTCTATCTGGGGCAGCCCCAACTGTTAGAAAGTCCTTCTCTTTCCTACAAGTTGGCCCTAAGCCATAAAGAACCTGTTGGTCCCCCCTCCCTGGGCTGGCCTTGCCAGAAATCTGAGGGCCAGAGATCTGAGGGTAGCATCTGCGTCCTCCCTGGTTTTTTCTTCTCAAGCTGACCAAGTTCCCTCCACTTCAGATCCTTCCCAGAGGCTTTAAGTTGAAACCCCTGCCCCAGATTTGTTCCACTTAGTCTGTCTTCTCCAGCAGTACAAGATAGAAACTGAATCTGTTGCTGACTGTGGTCTGAGCAGGGCCAAAGAGCTGACCCACCATCTCCCTCTTTCTATAAAGTCGACCTCTGTTAATGCAGCCAGAGATCACAGAAATCATCACACAGTTCTTCCTGCCAAGGAAGAAGTCCTTCCCTCCCTGTTTACTTGGTTGGCTTTTGGGCTCAAATGAAGGATCTTCATTTGTTCTGATCCTTGTCCCAGTCTGTGAGAATCTGATGGTTTATGCCTCTGTTGCCCCCTCCTACTTTATCCCCATCTATGCCAAGGCACTGATTGATTACGGCCCCAGCTCCCTTGGGAATCGGCCAACCCTCTCAAAGTGGTAGTCACAGCTCCGGAAAGACGGCTGGACTAGAGTCGGGGACTGGAGAAGCTGTGGTGTGGAGGCGGCAGCTGGAGTCGTGAGGCAGTTACAAGCTCCGAGGTACAACTGTCTTCCGGACAACCCCCCACCCCTGCCGCCAGACATCACATGGGCACGTTGCCAACCAGCTGGCCAGAACTAAGTTCCACTTCTTCCTCCTAAGCCCCTTTCTCTGAACCAACCCCCCTGTTCAGAGCCCTGTTCTTAAAGAGTCTCCCAAGTCAGAAACTGGGGGGCATCCACACTCTTCCTCCTCTCATATCCGACAGACATCCAATTGGTCCTGGTGTTTGTTTTTTGATCCTGGTGTTTTTAATTCGTGGCTTCCCAGGTGGCTCAGTGATAAAGAATCTGCCTGCCTGTGCAGAAGGTGTGGGTTTGATCCCTGGATCGGGAAGATCCCCTGGAGGAGGAAACAGCACCCCACTCCAGCATTCTTGCCTGGAAGATCCCATGGACAGAGGAGCCTGGTGGGCTACAGTCCATGGGGTCACAAAGAGTCAGACATGACTGAGCATGCATGCACATTTTTAGTTATCTTTCAGGAGTTCTCAACCTTGGTCCAGCAACAGAGTCCCTTGGGGGTAGGGTTTTTTTTTTTTTAAAACAAACAGCTTCCAGACCAAATGAGAATCTATGGGGATGGCGCTGGTGAGGTTAAGTTTTTTGTTTTTTTTTTAAAGCCCCCCAGGATTGGGAACCACTGTCCTGGTCTCTGGCCAGCTGGCTATCTTGGCTCCGGTCTCATCACCACAGCCTGAGCAATCAGGAAAGGAAGTCAGGGAGGGAGTGAGCACCGCCCCTACTACAGGGACCTGTTGAGACCGGGGAGGAGACCCCACTAGAAGCCCCTGTTGCGCAGTCCTGGTGGTCTCTTTGGGCAGAGGCTCCAGGATTCCACAATCCCTTCCTGGAAATAAGAGTGTGATTCCTCCAAGAGGTGCGGAGGCCAGGCAGCCTCCAGGCCCATCCCGGGAGATGGCGGCCGGCCAGCAGGCAGGGTTGATTCATTGCTGCTGGAGCAGGAGTTGCTGTTGTCTGTCTCGAGGGCTATTTTTTTTTTCCCCTTCTTTTTAATGACTAATCAAAGCCTATCTCACTAAAGCAGAGAGGCCCAGAGCTGAGTCAGGGGTGTGCGAGAGACTGAGCTAGGTCCAGAAAGAAAGGACTCTCTCTCTGACCCCTTCCTCTTTTCCCCAACCTGCAAACCACCCCCCCACCCCCCACCAGATCGCCTCTGCCAGTCTACACCTTAGCAGGGCCCCAGCACAACTCAGGGAAGCAGCTTCAGGGTGTGGGGAGGGGCCGTGCTCTGCCTCCCTCCAGGAGCTGTGTGACCTGAGATAAACTCCTGGCCCTTTCTGAACCTCAGTTTCCCACTTTGTAAAATAGGAAGTTGCACTAGATAGTCCCTGGATGCCATCTGCACCTCAGATGAACATGTGCCCGAATTCATTATTATTATTAATTTTTTTTTTAAGAAATCCCAAGGAGGTGATGGGAAGGAAGGAAGGGCCCCTAGCCTGGGTCTATTCTTACACCCCCATTTCTTCTGCTCTGCAGGGTGAAGCGGCTGGCTCCAGGCTCCATTATGCAGACAAATGAGCACAGAGAGGTTAAGGCACCCACCTGCCTGTTCTTGCTCCGAACAGTCCCTTCAGTCGGCAGACGGAGCACTAGGCTTCACCACTCAGGCCTGCGTGCTGCCCCGGTGAGCGAGCTGGGACCCTGGGTGTCAGGCCCAGGCATCGCCAGCCCCTCTGCCTTTTCTCACTCTTTTGGCCCTTCTTTTGGCCCACCTCCCTCCTCTCGTTCAAATCCAGCTCCTCCCCTGGTGATCCTAGTCTTCTTCCAGGAAGGTGCCTGCTCTGACTGCACCATGCTCCCTCCTCTCTCTGGCTTCTGGCTCCTGCCTCAGGCCCCACTGTGTCTCACATGGCCCAGGAGATACATAAACACTGTTCTGGGCCCACGGAGGGGTGTCATCTCCGAGCAGTCCTCGGAAAGAAAAGTGGGGAGGGCTCTGAACTGGGGGACAGAAGTGGCGGCTGGCCAGGTTGAGGCTGCCTGGGGACACCTGTCCCCACAGTCCCCCTGGTTTTATACACTCTGGTCGCACACATCTGCACCCCTCCTCAGGCTCCAGGTTGCCCTTCTGATCTCCGAGGGCTGTCGGGAGCTTTCAGGCCCCCACACTGGCCCCGGATGACCCTTTCCTTCTCTCTCTGCAGGAGAGGATCGGCCCCCCGTGAGAGATGAGAAGGGCTGGAGAAGGCTGGAGAAGGCTGGAGGGCTGGGCCTGGCCTGCAGAGCGGAGGACGCATGCCAGCTCCTTTCCCAAGTGTGACTTTTATAAATAAGCTCCCTTCGCTTGCTTTCCTTCTTCCAAATGTGGTGGCGTGGGGTGAGGAAGGAGGAGGAGGGGGGAGGGAGGGGGAGACAGGGTGGGGATGGTGCAAGCAGCTGTCCCAAGCACCACCCTCTGTCCAGTCCAGCCAGTACTGGCCTCTCAGTTCCTTGGGGATTCTAGTTCCTGGGGTTCAAGATCTCCCCCAGATATGGAATCGGAGTTAGGAGACCTGTGACCTCTTGCCCTGAGAAGCTGGGTTCTCAGTTTTCCCATCCCTACTTCCTAGATGGGAATCTGTGCAGCCCAAAGGAAGACTTGTGGGAATGGCCACCCCCTTAGACTAACAGCTGCACCCCACTCAATGTGGGCTCCTGCCAGCTGACCCTCAGGGATGCTAGCAGCTCCTAAGGGACGGGGCCACCCACACGAGCAGGGCAGCCTGCGTGGGCACTGAATGCCTGGAGTGGGGGAACGTCTGGAGAGGAAGCCTCGGATTACTCTCAGAGAAGCCAGGCCTCATCACCTAAGGACCGGGCTGGCGTGCGTGCGTTTGTATCTGTGTGTGTGTGTGTGCTGGGGTGGGGGAGGGATTCACAGACACACACCAGAGCAAAGACCTGGCTTCAAGCGCCTACAGTCCAATGTCTCTTAGGCCTTAGGTGTCAGCCATGTCTAAGTCTGACTGTTTTCAGGCCTAGGTAAAGCCCCTTTCCCCCATCCCACTTGATCTGCCATGCCAGCCACATCTCTCTCTCTCTTGTGCCTTTGTTTTCCCTTCAGCGGAGGGGATGAAGGTGATGAGTCAGAAGACGTCAGACGTCAAGGGCTCCGTTCCCCCTGAGCACTGGTTCCCACAGACGCTCTGGTCTGACCCACCAGGCACCCAAACACCAGCAAATGCACTACACGCCCTCCGTCCCCAAGATAACAACGCTCCTTCTGATTCTACCAACACAGGAAACTTGAGGGCAACCGCAAGGCTGGCGGGGGAGTGTTTATAGACACCATATTCGACATGAGGGACCATCTTCTTCTTTTGAAACCTCCAGGGGTTTACCCTGGACGGGGGGAGCTGGGCACTCAGCCAGAAATAATACAGGTCTAAAGGGAGAGTGGGGGCTGGCAGCCAGAGCAAGGGGCGATGGAGTCAGGAGAGCACAGATGCCAGCCCCAGGCTGCCCAGGAGACAAGACTGGTACCATGGGGGAGAGCCAGGCACAAATGCAGGGAAGCTGCGGGCAGAGAGGACCATCCACGGAGTCACAAGCCCAGAGGATGCTTGGAACTTTCCATATAAGCGGACCAGGTCTCCGGCTCTAAGCTGGGTAGCAGGGGAAGGGTTCTGGGGAGACTCTGCTCACCTCCACCCCCCACAAGGGATCAGCAGGGTGGTCAGCCAGGGCCTCAGAGGAGCCTCAACCTGGTCTACAGCCCTGACGTCCCAGTTCCCCACAGGCAGGCTTCATTTCCTACTCTGCACGGTCTGGGCCCCGTAGCCCCTCCCAGGATTGACATCTTTAAGGGCAGAGGTTCGAACACCCCGGTTAACAGCAGAGGCCAGGGGAGGCGGGGGGCTTTGATAATAAGCAGCAGGCGGCAGGGGTCTCTGTCTGGGCGGGCAGAGGGCGGGCTCTGACTCGAAACCTCTGCGCATCCTTCTGCTCCCCCCACCGGAACCCCGCCCCAGAAGCCACACCCCAGTGGCCTCCGAAACACAGGTGGAAAAAAATAGGTTCAGGCCGGAATCCCATCTGGGAACCCAGGAAGGGTCTGGAAACGCCGGCCCCGGCCGCCCGGAAGCCAAGAGGGAACGAGAGCGGGTCTGACCCCTCCCGGATCGGGGAGAGGAGCAGCTGCCGATCACCACCGGCTGGGGAGCCACAGGTGATGGGAGCTACAGGTGACGGAAGGTGATGGGGGCGGCGGCCGTCCCGCGAGACCGCGCCCGCCCGAGGAGCCCGGCCCCACCCGACCGGCCGGGTTCCGCAGCGCGCCCTGCAGCCGGGCTCTGGACGGGGGACCGCCCCCGGCCCCTTCCTATCCCACAGGTCCCGCCGTCGGTCTAAACCAGAGGGAGGGCAGGAGGGTCAGTGAGGAGGCACGGGGGGAGACAAGGGTCGGGACCTGCTACGCCGGGCGACGGAGAGGCCAAGCTTCGGTCCCGCCACCGATATTCCAGAATATCCCTCCGAAAACAAGGGGGGCGCCGAAAAGTTTATCTAGGACCCCGGGTTCCAGCCGCCAGCCCGCGGGCCAATCTGCCCCGCCCCGGCGGGTTCCTGCCTAGAGCCCCGCTCTGGGGCTCTTGACACCGGGGCTCCCTCCGCATCCCTCTTAAGGTCCTCCGAAGGGGCTGAAGGGTCACAGCCCCCGGGACCTCGTTCCCTTGCGTTCCCGATGTCCGTTCGATCCCTCCCGGAGGTCGCTCCCCAGAGCCCCTGCTCCGTCCCATCCCAATCCTCCCTCGACTCAACCGCTCAGCATCCCTCCTTCTGGACGGAGACAATGTTTCTGGATCTTACCTGCAGAGCGCCTCAAATCTATGCTAGAGGCCAGACCCCACCTCCCTCCTTAATTTTATTGCCTTGGGGTCTGCAGCATCACCCCCCTCCCCAAACCTCCAGAGTTCCAGCCTTTGTGCCTCCCACCCCTCCAGCCTTCCCCCTAGTATCTCATCCAGACTCAGGCTCAGGCTCTCTCTTTCCCCAGGATTTCTCGGTTCACAGTCTGATGCTGAGCGACCACCTCGTTGTTTCTACTCTCAGCAAGATTGCAAAAACCCCTCCATTTGGGGGGGAGGAGATCTAGGTTTTTGCCCCATCTCATTCTCCTTCCCCTGTATTCCCAACCCTGCATCCCCAGCCCCGAGCCCGAGAGCTTATTTCCTACCTAGATGCTGAGGATAGCTAAGCAGGGGCCCAGCTCCCCTGGACTAATGGGAAGATCTTCGCAGCGCTGGAGAGGGATGGTGGTTGGGGGTTAGTCAGTAGCAGATGCTCCTTTCCAGGTTCCTGCCAGCCTCTTGTTAAGCAGCGGCCGCTCGCACACCCCCAGCTGCCCCCTCCCTGCCCTGGCCCAGACGCTCTTGACCTGGAGCCAAGCATTCCCCCTTCCCCTCCCCAGGGGCTGCCAGAGGTGTTGCTCTGGAGTTGAGCCAGCCCCCTGCTGCGAAGTGTGTCAGAGCCTGGCATTTCTCCCAGACTGTGGGCTCAGGTTAGCTGGCTGGCAGACGGGCTGGAGGCACCGTTCCAGCCATCCCTCTTTCCCTGGAAAGTCCAGCCCAAGGCTAGCTCAGATGTAGCCTGGCCTGAGAGACAGCCACACCCCTTCCACTTGTCCAGAACTCAATCTTGAGTGACCCACAGAGCAAGCGCTGGTCTGGTGGTATCCCATTTGACAGATGCGAGACCGGGACTCATCTGCTAGGGGGGCTTGTCCAGGGTTACAGAAGCAGGTGGCAGGCAGGGTGTTGATTCCTGGTCCAGAGTACTTTCCTATGTGCAGGGTGACTCAATGGGGTGAGTCATGGGCGCAGCCCCAGAGCCTGTTGTCTGGCCCTGTGGGGGAGAGGATAGGGAGACACAGCTCCTGCCCTCAGAGAGTCCTGGTATCATGCCAAGCATCCCTTACTGAGATGCATGGTAGTGTGAAAAATTAATAAAGAATGAATGTGTGCCCTTCACCTTAAACAACCTTTCTGATAGATACAGGTCTTAAGCTCATTCATTCATTCATCAAACATTAGCTGGGAATGCATGTTCTGGGGCCACTATTCTGCACTTAAGGTGCTCTTAGGTGGTGGGAGGGACACAACTTCAATGTGTGAGGGATTCAGGGTGGCTTCCCAGAGACAGTGATGTTCGAGCTGGATGTTGAAGGAGGGGCGTGCAGCAGGCAGTGGTGCAGGCACTCTGGACAGAAGGAGTGTGCCCAGACACTGGGGGTGGGAGTGGGGAGCAACCAGAGAACCTCAGGAACCTGCTGTGATGCTCAGGCACAGGGGTACGCATGGGTGGGAGATAAGGCCGGTGAGAGAGGCCTTGAATGTTAAACTTCACCATGCAGACAAGATTGGAAGGCAATCAAAGGTCCAACTTTCACCCCCTTAAGCAAAAAGTATTCATTGAGCATATACTGTGCTGTGCTAAGTTGCTTCAGTCGTGTCCAACTCTTTCCAGCCCTATGGACTGAAGCCTGCCGGGCTCCTCTGTCCATGGGATTCTCCAGGCAAGGATACTGGAGTGGGTTGCCATGCCCTCCTCCAGGGGATCTTCTCTACCCAAGGATTGAACCTGTATCTCTTAACATCTCCTGCATTGACAGATTCTTTACCACTAGCGCCACCTGGGAAGCCCTGAGCGACTGACACTTTCACTGAGCATCCACTATGTGCTGGTTATTCTAGATGTTGGACATGTGACAGACAAAAGTCCTTGTGCTCATGGGGTTCTGGGAGAGGAAAGAGATGATAAACAAACAACATATATAATGGTGATAATATGCTATGGAGAAGATAAAGTAGGACAGAAGGGTTAGGGTGCTGGCTTTGAGGGAGTGAGCCACATGGGTCTCTGGGGGAAGAGCATTCTGGCAGAGGAAGCATCAGGTGCAATGACCAGGAGCAGGGAGTATGCCTGGCATATGAGAGAGACAGCAAGGAGGTGAGGATGCCTGGAGCGTGATAGGTGAGGAAGAGTTCCAAGGAGGTGGAGTCAGAGTAGATGGAGGGGCCTTGGAAGGGACTGTGTCCCTTGACTTTGCCTCTGAGAGGGATGGGAGCCCCCAGAGGGTTTTGAGCAGAGGACCTGATCCATCTTGGACTTCAGCAGGATTGCTCTGATTGCTGGGTGGAGAATGGACGGAAGAGGACGTAGGAGGAAGCAGGGATGTATTTAGGAAGTGACTGCGATTGTGCGTGTGGCTGGGACAAAGGTGATGGCAGTGATGGTGATGAGAAATGGTCATATCCTGGAAACATTTTCTTTTTGTTTCTTTAACTTTACTTGTTGGCTGCATGTTGTGGCTTGTGGGTCTTTAGATCCCTGACTAAGAATTGAAACTAGGCCATGGTAGTAAAAGGGTTCAGTCCTAACCACTGGACCTCCAGGGAATTCCCCTGGATAAATTTTTTTTTTTTTTTGTCTGCACCATGAAGCTTGTGGGATTTTAGTATTTATCCTGACTACAGCACTTATTGTCCTGTGTGGATATAGTGTGTGTTAGGTATCTGTCCCCTCATTGGATGGGGACACCTAAAGGGAAAGAGGGGTTTCTCAGGGGGAGCTAGTGGTAAAGAACCTGCTTAGCAATGCAGGAGACATGAGACTCGGGTTTGATCCCTGGGTTGGAAAGATCCCCTGGAGGAGGGTATGGCAACCCACTCCAGGATTCTTCTTGCCTGGAGAATCCCATGGACAGAGGAGCCTGGTGGGCTACAGTCCATGGGATCACAAAGAGTGGGACACGACTGAGCAACTCGGCAGCACAAGGGAAGGAACTGGGTCATGCTCTTGTTGATTCCCCAGGGATGGCACAGAAAGGGTGTTTGTGGAGTAAGCGATAAACATTGGCACGTGTGGATGAGCTGTGTTCCTGTAAAGGAGCACTGAGGGGCAGGTTGGGCATCTGGAAGCCCCCTAAGCCCAGGCACTGTTTGGGGTTTCCGTCTTACAGGCTGGGAGGGTGCAGGTGGAGGTGCTTGCCCACCTGATCCCTGATATTGGCAACTGCTGCCACCTGCTGGGAAAAGCCGGTGTTGCCTCAGCCATGCCCTTGCCTTGGAGCACCTGAGTGCCCAGGTTGGGATGATGACAATCATCACCTGTCCTCCAGACTGGTGGGAGAAACACCCTGACCATGACAAGACAATGATGGGGAAGTCCAGGGGCTGTTGGGGTCAGGAGGAGGAACGGAAGGCAGCTTATATAGGATTTGGGAACAGAACTGTCCTTGGGCTGACTTGTGGGGGCTGCAGAGAAGGAAGGGGCAGCTGACCCAGGCTCCATGGCTGGGGGAAGTGTGTGTGTGTGTGTGTGTGGTCAGTGTTCTCCCATTGTGGCTTTTCTGCTGCTTTCAGGCAGGATTTCTCCCTCTTTCTCCTCTCCTGCGCAGTCTGGCCCCGGCCATTGTTGTACAAAGTGCTGGCCATTGTGTAAGCCTCACCCTTACTGTGACCCTATCAGGGGCGCCCTCCTTAATTTCAATTCACAGATTAGATGATGAGGCTCAGATGAGAAGTAAACGCACAGCACGGATTGAGGGTTAGGTGACATGGTTTCTAAGCTGCCTAGCCCTTGCAAACCCAAGCTGTTTTGACCACCAAGCCCGGCCCTGCCCAGCAGGCAGCTCTCCTTCTCCTTCCAGGCTCCAGACTCCCAGCCCACCGTCAACCTGTAACCATCTTCCAGCTCAGCCTTGTGGCTTGGGCTCAGCCATGCTGGGGGTGCGGTGGAGGAGGGAGACGCCTGGAGGAGGCAGCTGGGGAGAGTCTCACTGCTTAGCACGTGATATTGGAGGTAGGGTGGTGATGGAATTGACAATATGCTTGAATACATTGCCCTCCTTTTCCCAACGAGATATTTTTTAAAAAGGAATTTGGCCCACTATTCTAATTAAAACACTTAGGGATGCAGATGAAACACGCAACTCTCTGGTTATGATATTTAGTGAAAATATTTCATATTGAAAGTGTTTTTTTCAAATGGAAAGATTTTAAAGCACATATTTTTTAAGACTAGCTTTATTTTAAAGGCAATTCTTTTCCATGCTCATGGTTTGTGAAACTTGATTCAAACCCTTCACTTGCATTTGTGCTTCTCATTGTACTTGCCATGAGCCATACCTAGCCCCTCGTTTGATGTCCCCCATAGTTTTCTCGAATGTGTCATCTTCACTTGTGTTTGGAAATACAGACCTTTTGAATCCATAAATGATGCTGTTACTGGAAAAATTATTATTCCAAGTCATGAGAATGGCTGTTTTTCATCTAAGTGGTAGGTTAATATTTGCGGTCTCCCTAGGGTAGCACAGAATTACATAAACTAGCTGTCTCCTAGTCTTTTCTTATTCTCCTCCTCTTTCTTCACAGAATTTCTTACCATCTGGTGTACTTTTTGTTTATTGTCTGTCTCCCTTCCCTAGAATGTGAGCTCAGGAGGCCAGGGAACTTTGTCTGTCTTCCTGCTTTCCATCACCTGGAAACATGCCTGAAGCAATACTAGGTGCTCAGTAAATACCTGTGGAATGAATTAATATAAGACTCTTAGAGGGACTTCCCTGGTGGTCCAGTGGTTAGGTCTTGTCTTCCAATGCAAGGGGTGTGGGTTTTATTCCTGTTTAGGGAACTAAGATCCCACATACAGTGCAGCACCCCCCACCCCAGAAAAAAATCTCTTAGAGATGTCTCAGCCCAGTGGCAGCCAGGGCCATGTATGTAGTTAGCACTGGGGTGGGGTGGGAAGGCAGCCCTGTTGGACCCGACCCCTTGTAAGGAGGGCATTTAAGTCAGGGGCAGCCTGTTGTCTCAGGGGATTAGCTACACACAGGATTAGCACAGGATTAGCTACATATGCTATGCTATGCTAAATCACTTCAGTCGTGTCTGACTCTGTGCGACCCCATCCCTGGGATTCTCTAGGCAAGAACACTGGAGTGGGTTGCCATTTCCTTCTCCAATGCATAAAAGTGAAAAGTGAAAGTGAAGTCGCTCAGTTGTGTCCGACTCTTCGCTACCCCATGGACTGCAGCCTACCAGGCTCCTCCGTCCATGGGATTTTCCAGGCAAGAGTACTGGAGTGGGGTGCCATTGCCTTCTCCGGATTAGCTACATACATTGAACAAATTACAAGAATATACTGAAGACAACTGTGGGAAAGGGAGTAAAAGTCTGGAAAGGGGGAAAGCTAGGATGAACCCAGTGCCACTGGACTGGAATGGAATGTCTGAATGACAACTATCTTTCAATAGATGGAAGCTGTATTCGTTTGGGTTTTCAGAGAACCAAAACCAATAGGATAAATATAGAGAAAGAGATTTATTATGAGGAATTGACTCACGCCATTATGGAGGCTGAGAAGTCTCACAGTCTGCTGTCTGCAAGCTGGAGACTTGGAAAGCAGGGTGCTGGAGTTCCAGACTGAGAAAAAAGGCCTGAGAAGAGGGAGTGCCCTGCTGGTGTGAGTACCAGTCCAAGGGCAGGAGAAGACCAAGATCTCAGCTCAACGGGCTGGAAGAGAGAATTCAGCCTTTCCTCTGGCTTTTTGTTCTATTCAGGCCCTCAATGGATAGGATGATTCCTGTCCACCGTGGGGAGGGCCACCCATTTTATTCAGGCCACCAAGTCAAATGCTAATCTCTTCTGGAAACGCCCTCACAGACACACCCGGAAACAATGTTTAACCAGATAACTGGGCATCCAGTGACTCAGTCCTAAGTTGACATACAAAATTAACTCTCACACAGATGAAGGAATAGGCAAAGGTATAAATGTGTATGTTTATGTGTGTATATAAAATGTGTGTCTACTGAGTGGGCCTGGCAGGAGACACTACCTTAACTGCATTGAGCACAACTAATACCCACATCTTGGTTTCTAAATACTCTTTTTTTTTTTAAGAACAAAAAATTTAAATAAAAAATAAAAAAGGGGAAAAAAAAAAAAAACACACACACACACTTCACCACCAAAAAGAAATAGGTATTCTCGCCAAAAGCGATAATTCTAGGGCTGGGGACAGGGAAAAACAAGGTGAACCTGGAATATCTTCTTGAGCCAGAAAGTACGGAAGGTTCCAAAGAAGGATGCGACACATGAAAATGAAGAGGTCAGTAAGGGCCACCCACTGACCAGTCCTGGGACAATCTGAGCATCAAAATAAATGATAGGAATGTGTTATAACCTACTGAATAAAACAGAATATCATAAGTCCACCTGACATAAGTAAAATTAATAAATAGGGGTAAAGAAAAAGTTCTTTATATTAATAATAGAAGGCCAACTGATAAATGCAGAAGAAATGATAAAATTGGAAGATCACCATTTGAACTCAGACAAGACACATCAATGGATGCTGAAACCTATGGTCATAAAATACCTCATTTTCTCAGTACTTACTATGATCAAGTGATCAACATTACCAGCACCACCAGTCATGGTTCCAAATGCCACTGGATGTGATAACACAGCATCGGGAACTCCCTGGTGGTCCAGTGGTTAGGACTTGGCACTTTGGTGCTTTGACTGCCATGGCTTTGGTTCAATCCCGGTTCGGGGCACTAAGATCCCACAGGCTCCACCACGCAGAGAAACAAACAAAAAACCCACAGCATCTTTGTGTGTGATATTTCTGCCCAAAATATGTAACAGTTGTTTAATCATGAGGGAGGAATGAGAAAACCCATATCGAAGGACAGGAGAGTCTACAAAATAACTTCCCTGTAATCTTCAAACATGCCAAGGTCAAAATTCAAAGAAAGGCTGCAAAGTTGTTCTAGATTGAGGGAGGCCAGAGAGATGTGACAACTGGGAGCAATGCTGTACATTACATTACTTTTTTTCACCCTAAAAGGATTTTTTTTTTTTTTTGGACATTACAGTTTGAGATTATTTCAAAGTAAAAAGTTAAAATAAATGTCATGAATGTTAGCCCGGCATGAATGTTAACCCTTCTGGCTGATTCCTGCTGGCCTTCGGGACTCATTTTTAGACAAGCTCCTGTGGAACCCCCGTGACTGGATGAGGGCCCTCTGTGCTCCGACACCCTTCTCTGATTATACCCAGAGGTCCGAGAGCAGGGGTTGTCTGGATCATGACAAAGTAGCCTCCTCTGGAAACATGCTGAATGGAAATTTCCACAAAAGGGGTGTTTAGGGGTACAGCTCAGTTCTACCTCTTCACTGGGGTTCAAAGAAACTGGATGTCTGGCTGTTGGAGCTGCATCTAGCTGAGCAGGACCCATGGACCAGGAGGAGTCATGTCTGCAGGGAGCTTCCTGGAGGGGATCTTGGAAGGATATACTGTTTAGAGCAGGACTGAGGGTCTAATGGTCTAATGCCCAAGACGGAACTCTGCTACAGAGGTCTCTCAAAGGGGAAGCCCTTTTTATATCTCTGATGTCACCTGGGCACTCACTGGTTGCATCCAGGGAGCTGTGGGATACCGAGATTCCGAGACCGCCCCACCCCCATCCACGCTCCAGGATCAGAATGTGGGGACTATTGGAGGGATAATGAGCAATAATGTGGGAATACTGGAGGATAATGCTAGGGAGGATGGATGTTCAAAGTGTTAGGAGAATTTTTTTATTTGGCTGTGCAACTTGTGGGATTTTAGTTCTCTGACCAGAGATTGAACCTAAGCCCTTGGAGTGAGAGCATGGAGTCCTAACCACTAGACTGCCTGGGAATCCCCAAATGGGAACTGTTTTTTGTACGATGTTAGGAGAAATTTGCCAGGAACGGTTAAACCTGTTTCCCTTGTTTTCTGCTAAGGTTATGGTTATATGGATGATGCCATTCAAGGTTCCAAGATGCCAGCTCTTCAGGACAGGGGGGTGGGGCACCAGTCTCAGCACTGGAGCCAACTGGGCTGTAACTCCTTTCTCATCTGGCTTCCCCAGGTGGCTCAGTGGTGAAGAATCTGCCTGTCAATGCAGGAGCTGCAGGAGACATGGGTTTGATCCCCGGGTCAGGAAGATCCCCTGGAGGAGGAAATGGCAACCCACTCCATTATTCTTGCCTGGAGAATCCCACGGGCAGAGAAGCCTGTGCGCTGCAGTCCAGAGGGTCACAGTCTGCCGGGGCTTAGCCACTGAGCACCGGCTCTCACCCTCCTTCCCCATCTCCTGACGTGAGTGCAGCGCCCCCTGGAGGTGAAGGGCCCGAATGACTGGGCAAGGAAGGGGCTGAGAGAACTGGGTCTGGGCAGAGGGTTCCAGGAGGGGAGGCAAGGGCACGGCCAGCCGGCCGGGGGTGGGGCCTGACAGGGAGTGCCTGGACAGGAAGGAAGGGCAAAGGGCCATGTCCTCCGCCTGCCCCACCCCGCTGACAAGAGTCCCAGTGGCCAGGCCACCCTCTCAGTCTGGGGCCCTCGAGGGGTAAGTTGTCCTTCTGAATTCACTTGGTCCCTTTTCCAGGGATCGGGTAAGAATGCCTTTCCTCCCTGGGGGTCCAAACACCCCACCCCTCTGCTCCCCCTTGGGTGGGAAGAGGGCCACACCTGCAATGGCGGGCAGGGCAGTGTCTCAGACCCTTCCCCTCCTGATATCAGCATCAGGATCAAGGTCAGGGCGGAAGGGCCACGTGGGGCACCTCATCCAGGCAAGACCCAGAAACCCCTGCTCCCTCCTCTGTCACCCGACTGCAGAGCCCAGAATCTAAGCAGCTGAAGCACTGGGGGACACCCAGACAGAGCCCTCGCTGGACCAGGTCCTCCGGGAGCGAGATGATGCTATCGCCAAGTAAGAGGCAGCTGCTTGTGGGGGTCGGGAGGGCGGTGGATGGCTCCCCATTGAGGCTCTGTCCTGCCAGAAGGGGAAGCAGGGAAGTCTGGCATTCCTGGGAGGAAAGCTGCATAGATACCTGTATGAATACTGTCTCAAGGCAGGGGGCTGTGGCCACACTGGTCCACCCCCAAGGCCCAGAACCACATCTGCAGGGCCTGAGCCTCAGGCTGCTCTCTGCCCCACTTAGGAAGCGGGCCGTGGAGGCTGAGCTGGAAACGTGCAGAGCCAAGCTGCGTGCTGTGGAGGCCCAGTTGCTGGAAGTTCTGGAGGAGAAGCTGAGACTGAGGCAGGAGGTGGAGGCGTGGGAGGTAGGGTGGGTGTGCCGGCCGGGCCCGGGAGGCAGGACCAGACAAGCACAGGCCTGGCTCCTGACCCTACTCTCCTGGCCCCCAGGAGGACATGCAACGGCTGGTGAGGCAGCAGGTCGAGAGTCAGCTGCAGAGAGAGTCCCAGAGCGCTCCGGGAGCTCCCACGGACCCTGAAACTGCCAGGACCCCCTGGATCCGATTCCCCCTGAGTCAGTGGGGACGCTGGCGGTGAGAGAGCTCAGCCCAAGACCTTGGGAGGAGTGTCTTTATTCATTAAAGTTTGAGGTCTGACCCCTTCTGCATCCTTGCGCCCTTGGAGTGCCCACCTGAATGCTTCTGTACAGAAACAAGGAGCAGGACATGGAGCCTTGACACCTGGGGTTTCATGTCCCCTCTGGCCAGCAACCCTTAGGCCAGGAAGCCTCGGACTGCAGCCATGAAGTCCTGCGGGTGGTCGCTGTGGACCCAGTGGCTAGCGTTCGGCACGGTCTGCATCTGGGCCCGAGGGAACAGCCGCCTAATCTCAGGGTAGTGGCTAGGACTGAACACCAGAGAGAAGGCAGCCGAGAAAGGGTGACAGGAGGAAAGTGGAGAGAGAAGGAGGGACAAAGAGGCCAAGCGGGGGGAGAAAGAGAGCCACATGAGTCTATGTGCCCAGTGGTGTTTCCAGTTTTCAGGCACCCCTTACCCATACCCCAGCCCTCCCCAAGGCAGGCTGAGGGGCTGGGTCAGTCGGGTATGCCCGTCCCTACCACCCAGCCTGGCTTACAGCAGGAATTGAGAGTTTCCACCCCGGAGGAAGAGGGTTGGCCCAGAGTAGGTTTCCTGTCGTGCGGGGAAGTCCAAGATCTTGTCCAAGTGCTTATCCAAGGCATCCAAGTTCACCCTCCACACGAAGCGCCCATCCACCTCCACCAGGTTGGTAAGCAGGTACTGCCGCAAGTTCGTGCTCTGTGGGGGTCCCACAGTTGTGGGGTGGGGGGCTCTGTGTGAGGCCTGGGGCTGCCCCTCTTTGTCTGCCCACAACACCACGCAGGGGCTTGCGTGCATTACCTGGATAACAGAGCGGAGCCTCTCATCGGCCAGTTTTCGGGCGCTGGAAAGGGACGCCTCATTTGCCACGTCCACGGCCCTCATGGCTGTGATGTAGCTTGGAAAGCTCGAGCTGGACGAGGTCTCCACTGGGCTGATGTCCACGACAATCAGGCGCTCCACCAGCTCTGGCTGCGGGAGAGAAGCAGACTGGGGACCTTAGGGCAGGTTCCTGGATCTGGAACTAGGTCATCCAAGGCTCACTGGAGTTCCAGGCTGCCTGCTGGGCGCTCAGGGTCGACAGCGGATAGGAGGAAGCCCTGGAGAGAGAAGGCTTACCCTCTGAAGTGCCAGCAGCATGGCGGTCCTGCCTCCCATGCTGTGGCCAATGAGGACGCAGGGCACCAGGCCCAGCTGGGGCAGGAGGTCTTGCAGATCCTGGCTCATGGCCTCGTAGCTCATGTCTGGGCTGTGGGGGCTCTCACCATGGTTCCGAGCATCCACTGTCAGCACCTGGGGAAGCGGGAGAGGGGGGAGCAGCACTTGCATCCACAATCAGGGCAGAGCTGAAAGCCTGGCAGATCTGCAGGCTGAGGGAGGTGGAGAGCCCAGGATGGGGGAGATCCAGAAGGGGGAAAAGGGCCCGGATGGTGAGAAGACCCCCGTTCTCAGACCTTGGAGGCCCAGATGAAGAACCGGAGCCACTGGGCCAGAAGGCCCAAGGAGTGTGACCACGTCTCCGGACATTTGGCCTAGCTGGCTGGCAGCTACAGAGAAAGCAGACACCAAGAATTGACAACAGCTGGAGCACATCAGGGCGGGCGGCTGCAGGAGGTGCAAAGGCCCTGTCATCCCTGGTGAACAAGCCGGGTCTGGCCCCCTTAGCAGGCAGGACGTTGGTGCCTAGGTATCTGAGAGCAGAGCCTGAGTCAGGGTGGAGCACACAGACGGAGATCTACAATATGAGTGAAGGACTGGGTGGGTGAAAGCACCAGGGAATGAATGGGGTTCATCGTGGGTCTGGGTCTGCCCTGGGGCCTCCATCCTCAGAATGTCAATCTCTTCTTTGATTTCTGATCAGAGAGACCCGCCGCTTCCAAGCGTTGGGGACAGAGAAGCTGGCCACACCTTGGCCTCCTTTAGGGCCCCGCCCACCCAGGCCCCATCTCCCTCAGGGCCCTGCCGACTCCAGAAGCTCACCCTCCGGCCTGTCTGCTGAGCCAGGACCTTGGAGACGGAGTTGAAGTTGGTTTTGCTGCCGAAGAGCCCATGCAGAAAGACAAGGGGCGGGCTAGCTGCCTCGCCGTCCAGAAGCTTGTAGGAAAGCGGCACCGGTCTGGCGGGAGGAACGAGGGTGGGGGAAGAGTGAGCCGGCAGGGGAAGCGGTTGAGAGAGGGGCCTGGGAGAGGGAGGGCCCAAGCGGAGGAAGCGGAGCCAACCGGGACAAACGGGCGCGGGTGGGAGGAACGAGGGACGGCCTCCCAGCGGACGCCCTTGACTGACCTCAGCTCTGTGCCGCCTTGACTGCTGCCGCATGCGATAGGCAGTCTGGAGAAGATGGAACTGGAGGGGCCGAGCCCCCTATAGGGGAGCGTCCAAGTCCGCGTCCAGCCGCCCATCTTTACCTGGAGCGCACCTCGTGCTGTCCCATTGGCTCCGCCTCGCTCAGGGCCCCGCCCCAATTCCGGCCAGAGCTCCGCCTTCTCACCCGCCCCCTAGCGCGGAGCGCCCCGCCTTCGCTCACGTCTCCCTACGTAATCCCGGAAACCTGTCTCTTTTCTAGGCTCCGCCCCTTGCGCCCGTACGTAAACCTGGCGGGAGCCACGCCCACAATATCCCCGCCCTTGGCCACGCCCCGGGCGGAGCCACTCAATACCCTGACCCCGCCCCGCTAAGCTCCCGCCCGGCTCCTCCTGAGCACAGAACCTCTGCCGGGAATCCGAGCTTTCGTTTCGGAGTCTGGTCTCGGCCTCTTGGGATGTAGTCACGGGGTTTGGGCTTGAACACTGGCCCCTGCCTGGCCCCGCTGCGGCCTGCTGCTCTGCCCTCTAGCGCCGCCTTGGGTAGATGAGGTATTTCCTGTGCCGCGGGCGACGGCAGGAGTGGCTCCCTTCGCCGAGACCCCAGCTTGGAGGCGCCGTGCTCCACTGCCGCGGGCCCAGGCAGGCCGGAAGGAGCAGAACACTTCTCACTGATCTTGAAGTCGACTCTAGAAGGATCTCGGAGAGACTCTAGAGGTCATCTCCAACCTGCCCGCCTCACCGCCCTTTATAGATGGGGAAACCGAGGCAAATAACTTTTACAAGCGGTAGAACCGGAATCTCTGGTCTTCGAGTCAAGGTGGGAGGCCGGTTATTTGTACTAGAGAGGGCATTTGCTTACTGCACTGAGCTGTATTGGGTTCAACTGTGCTCACCACACCTCCCATTTATCAGCAGAGAAATATTAAATATTAATAATCGTCCCACCCGCTCAGCACGTCGTGCAGGGATGTCACCCCCTTTTTGGAACCCTGACGGACTGCCGTGTTCCCTTCCTTGTCTGGACTAATGGTGGCAGTGGCGACTCAGGTCTCAGCTGACTTCCACAGCAGTCGCGCCTTCAGCAGTTACAAGAGTAGCTGCTCTTTCTAAGGCATTCTTTTGATCAGAAACCATCAGGAGAGGGACTTCCCTGGTGGTCCAATGGCTAAGACTCCCTGCTCCCAATGCAGGGGCCTGGGTTTGACACCTGGTCAGGGAACTAGATCCCACATGCTGCAACAAAGATCCTGCATGGGCTTCCCTGGGGGCTCAGTAGTGGAGAATCTCTGTCTGCATTGCGAGAGATGCCAGTCTTATCCCTGGTCTGGGAAGATCCCACATTTTACGGAGTAACTGGGCCCCTGCGCCATAACTATTGAGCCTGTGTCCTAGAGCCCAGGAGCTGCAACGAGAGAAGCCACCACAATGAGAAGCCCTTGCACTGCAACAGAGTGTAGCCCCCACTCGCTGCAACTAAAGAATAGCTTGTGCAGCAACGAAGACCCAGCACAGGCAAAAACAAGCAAATGAAATTATATATTAATTATATATAAAAGATCCCGCATGCCACAACTAAGACCAAAGACAACCAAATAAATAAAATAGCTTATCTGCTTAAAAACAAAGAAACATCAAGAGGAATTCCCTGGTGGTCCAGTTGTTAGGACTCTGCATTCTCACTGCTGAGGGTCTTGATTCAATTTCTGTTGGGGAACTAAGATCTTATAAGGCATGTGGTGCGGACCAACCAGGCACCCACAAAGACTACACTACACACCTCCCTTCAGGTCATTACCCCTACTACTTCCCACTGGGATGCTGTGTTGTTTTTCAGTCGCTCAGTTGTGTCTGACTCTTTGCGACCCTGTGGACTGCAGCACACCAGGCTTCCCTATCCTTCACCGTCTCCCGGAACTTGCTCAAATTCATGTCCTTTGGGCCGGTGATGCCATCCAACCATCTCGTTCTCTGTCATCCCCTTCTTCTCCAGCTTTCTGTACTGTGCCACTGTCCAAATAGCCAGTTGGCCATCCTCCACATCTTTTAAGGTCCAGGATAACTGCCACCTCTTCCTCAAACCTCTCCAGATTTCCCCAGTTGAAGCTAATCTCTTCCACCCCATGTTCTCAAAGCATTTGTCAAGAGTCTGGCCTTCTACATGTCTACCATAGGCTGGGGGGTTCCTGGAAGCCCTGGGTCATGTTTTGTTCATTTGGTGCAAAGAGCAATAGTAATTTTACTGAATGATCATGGAGAGAGTCAGGCACTAGCTGAGGCTTAGGTGTCAGTTCGGCTGGTAACTGGGTCAGCGCCCCTTCCAGGACATGGAACCTGGGCCATCCAGGGTTACTGTGGCTTCTCCCCTACCTCCTTAGGACAAGCCTGATGGAGTCAGTACAGTTACGGGCCTCCTAATTACACGGCCTCATCAGTGCCTTTCCTAATAAAGTGGCCCCCATCTGAGCCAGCTGGTGACAGGCAGGTGTTTTGTCTAATCTGGGGCGGGCTGTGAGGTCCCTGGGGACTCTAAACACACCAGGAGGTGTAATCATTTGTTGCCGGCATAGTCATTAGGGGAGTGGGGAGAACACCTGAGCCCTGGAGAGGGGGTTGGCCTAAGATCTGGGAGGGGTCCTTGGAAGAGAATAGGCAGGATGTTTTTCTAGAATTGGTGGGTAAATGGGAAGCGGGTTGACGTCATGTTG